GAAACATAATGGCCGTCCTTTCCTTCAACTTTGCGCATGATAGCGACACGAGCTGAGTGAAGAGAACCTTTGGATAGCTCCTTGGGGCAAAGCTGGGATCCATTGCCCTTCTTATACACTCTCCAAGTGCTCAGGACCAAGGCCACATGCCACCCATTCTGTCGCTGGATCGCCACCACATTTCCAGTGTGAATCGAAATGGACGGCGGCAAAGATGGACTGTGCTCATTTCGGAACTTCTCACAGGATTCAATCCAAGCTTGCTGGCGCGATACTCGCATAGCTGGTAACCTGTCAACAGCATCTGCGCAAGCAATCTGGTGCTGAAGAAGGTTCTGCCACTTGCGGATATTCTTTTTGATCTTGTCCCGGGTGAGAAAGTGGTTTGGGATAATGTCTGCGTCCGCACCTTCTGGACCAAGACGAAGATAGCACAGCAAACGCCACAGGTCGTCAAAGGCACTCTCAAATGTCTCATGCCCACGCAGTGCGGATGACAAGGTCAGCCTTCCTGAGCGAGGCTGGATTTTGGACATCAGGTCCGCTTTCCAATCCTCTTTCGCTCCCTGCTCGATGACCTCCCTGGTGGCTTCAACAACCTTTGGGTCTGCAGGCTTTCCTTTTGCTGTGGCTTCGACAACGCTGCACTCGGTGTCATCGATCTCTGGAAGCTCTGGCATTTCCATGTCTGCTGGAAGCTCTTCTGACAAGTCTTCTGGCGAATCCTTCTGTACGAAGGCTTGGCTCCGACGGATTCGTTGGAAAAGCGCCGAGGCGTCCTCTCCCTCAGGCGCAGGCTCCTGCTCCTCCGCCTCATCACCTTCTTCTTTCACGATTTCCGGCTCAAAAGACTGAGAGGCCATGGCCATATTGTACATGCTCCTGAGGTTGGCCTCAGAGATTCCGCTGCAAATGGATGAGAACCTCAATGCTGCAGCAAATGAGCGTGATGAAATTGCTGAAAACTCTTCACAAGAGAGCGCCTCTGGCAAGGGCTTTTGGTCTGGAAGTCGTCCTTGCTTCCATGAATGTAGCTCTTTGCGTGCCACTTGGGCGCTGGCGCGCCAATAGTCTGGAACTGTCATTTGACTATTGCTGAAGCAGCTTCGCACTCGGCCGAAGCGTTTTTCCAGCTTTCGTTCGCTCAACTGTGGAAAGCACAAGTGGCCATCGGCACCCCAGCAAACTAAGATCACTGACCCACATAGGTCTCTGAGGCTACGGTGCGTTCTGGCATCAAGCCACACCTGCTGCTTCTTGACACCCAAATCCTTAGCCCTTTGAGATGCCATGAGGTATCCCAAGTCGAGAAGGCATAGACCAGTCATGGCCATTTCCAACCGCCATTTCCGGCACGCACTGGAATGCAGCACGCTGCCGACGACATGAGCTCCCAGGAGGTTGAACACGAATGCCCCTTCTAAACACCAGGGGATCTGCACTGGAGTGGCGACCGGATCCAGCACATAGTTCATCGGGCTCAACCTCAAGCTTCGATAGACTTCGACAAAAAAAGTCTGACACCTTCACAAAAACAACCTTCAAAAAAAAACAATCCAGAACAAAACACGCCGGCAAGGGCAAAAACATACCCCAAATGTCAGGAAAGGAGCCATAAAGCTGCTTGGAAATCAGACATTGCGTCACTACCGATGTACGATTGAGGAAACAGTCCCAAATCCAAAGCAGCAGAGGCATCATGCATCTTCTTTCCGAATGTGGGAGTTCGCAGAGAAGATCGCAACTGCTCGACAAAGTTCTTTTGGATGTGCGCAACACCTCCGAAGTAGTGCAAGCTCACTCCTTCGTACTTGACCAGGCGGTAGCCAATGGGGAAGCTAGTCGGCGGCAAGTCGACCTTCTCCAATTCTCTCCAAAACGGGAGGAGCTGCAGCAATTCCTCGGAGATGGCCACTTCCTGCCCCAGCAAGAACCTATGGAGCCACTCATGCGAGCCATGGCCATCGCAAACGATATACCTCACCGAAGAAGCCTTGGCCAAAACAGTACCAAGTCTGTTCAGTGTCTCCCACTTCCCCCGTTGATGTGTGGGATCAGGGGCAAGCTGCTCGAACCGTCGGTCCAGCGACGCAGCTGTCAAGACGGGGTACGCAGCGATTTCCAGCGCAACACTGTGGGGGGCGAGTTGCGTCCCACACCAAACATGACTCCATTTCGTTTGCTCGAGCTTTCTGCTTCAAGTCAAATTGCTCTTCACCTTTTTCTGCAGAGAGTACGATCTGGCTATCATCTGCAAGTTCAAATCGAGCAGGACGGTGAGCGCATCCAGCCATAATCTGCCCTTTCGGGGTTGTGCAAAGCTGGAGGGCTCTATTGATATAAGTCCGGTCAAAGGCTAGCAAAAGCCTTCGGCTGCATGGCCCGTCATGCTTGAAAACCTGGCAGGCGAAGGCCAAAAGAGTCACCGCAACACCCTTAGTGGCCCTACTGTCTATTCTGCATTCGGTTGAAAGGGGCGAGTCGAACTCAAAAAGAAACAACTTCCAAAGCATTGAAGAAACTGTGGAAATGAGATGGTCATTCACATCCAGCGTCTCTTCATTTGGGCTCATAAAGTCTGGCAAATTCCAAGAAGGGACCGCAGCCAATCCGCTAGCAAATTGCCTCCGCTGAATCCACTTCAACCCAAAAAAGGCCAATGAGCTAGAATTGCTTCCTGCAGCCGCCAGCTCAGCCCCTGCTTCAAGAAGTAGCTGCTTTTCCATGTCATCTCCTTGGTTTGAAAAGTCTGAAAGGTCTAAAGTATTGTTCCTGGTGACCTGTGCAATCTGCAATACGCAGGGGCTCTGAGGAATTCATTTTAGACCTTCAGCTGCTTT